ACGATGATGATGATGATGATGATGATGATGATGATGATGATGATGATGATGATGATGATGATGATGATGATGATGATGATGATGATGATGAATAAGTACTGAGGATTTCGACGTGAATTAATCTTGGTGTCTAGTTTAGTTCTTCCTTTGGTGCCTAAACTAGATCCCCATCAGGCTGTCCTAACAGGCAGGACACAATCCAAGGAGCTTAGAACTAACTCCTTGACACAATCCCTTCTCACCAAGCTTAGGTGTGGTCGTCCATCACCCCGTACTGCGGGGTTATCAAAACAGGGTAGACAAAGGAACACATCCAATCTGCTCCCCCCCCCTCCCTCCCCGTGTGAGGAAAAAGACCAGTACCTGATAACATGTGTCACGACGCAGTGGAATCAAGCGCTCGTCAGTTTTGGGGCGTTTGGGTTTTTATTTGTGTCATCTTAATGCATGTTTATTTGTGTTGCTTTCGATGAAAAAAAACCAAACTATCTATCTTGAATAGAAGTCAAGATATTTGTGATTGAAGGAGGAGGGGTCGCCCGGTTTCAGTGTTAAAATTAGCGAATTAAGTCAACGTTTTCCTATGAAATTCACACATGTAAATGTGTTTTTATATGGACACGGAAGCTGTTGAGCCAAAACCAAAAGAACGATAAAAATTACCAAACTGGTGGAAAAGTGCCCTTTTCTTCAATTTCACTATTTTGACGAGCGCCTGATTTCACCAAGATGCCTCACATATACCGGCTTCAGAGGTGCCCGGCCACCGAATACAAGAGACTGCAATCATCCAGGGAGGGCAACAGGAGGCTGGACTGTCTCACAGGGTACTCGAAAGATGCAGTAGCCCTGATGCGAAGCATATTATGTGGTGAGATCAGGCGCTGGTCAAAATAATGAAATTAGAGATATCGGCATTTTCCCCCCTGCTTCACAATTTGTATCGGATTTTTAATTTTTCTTTAGCTCAACACCTTTTCTGTCCATTGAAAAAACTAATTTCTGTGCGGATTGTACTGGAAAACATTGATTAAAGGCATACAAAATGTAAATTTCCAGTTTCCGAGGACTCTAGTTTAGAAACCAGCAAACTTTGGGGACCTTTTTCTCGCTAATTTTACCTCTCAAACCAGGTGACCCCCATCTCCTTCAATCGCAAATGCCTCAACTTCTATTCACGATAGATGGATATATATATTTTTTTGATCCCCCCAAAATTAAAAAAAAAATAATTAAAAAATAAAAAAGTTTCGGGATAAAACCAATAACTCCCTAGGCCCAAAAGTTGACGAGCGCCTGATTCCATCCCGTCGTGACACATTATTTCTCGGGGTTGTAGATAAGCTTAGTTTAGTTTTGTTTTA